TCCCCTGGACCCAGCCTCCCACTGCATCTGCAGGTGTGGGGGAACAGGTCCTCTGATAGCACTACCCGAACAGGTGAGGAATCACATCAGGTGAGACTTGCTAGCAGTTTCTCCCTGCAAGGACGGAGCGCTTGGTCAAAGCACATGTCACCTGTTTGGAGCAGAGGCTCAGAAGCCTGTGCCGAGAACAGCCCTTCCAGATTCTCACCATTTGACCCAAAATGACAGCCAGGGAGGCCCACCAACTGCATGAGGGAGAGGCAGGGGGCACCGCCAGCCAGACTCTCAAATGCAGCTGGGGAGCTCAATACTGCAGAGCAGGCCTCCAGAGCAGGACAGGCAACGAGGTGGCCTGAAGCCAGACTGGAGTGACCCTGCCTGTGCGTCAGGGTGGCCATCAGTCCCAACGGTCAGAGACGGTCTCAGAAGGCAGAACCACCCGGACCTCCGAAACTGGGTCAGAGTTAGTGGTGAAACAAAGAAAGCCACAGCACATGAGCCAGATGCCCTGGCCTTGGGGTGAAGAGGGATGGAAAGTGCACAACCAACCAGAGAAAAAAAGGGAAAGTGAGAACCGCAAGGTTTCTCTAGAATTTTCATAGATGTAATTACACAAAACAAAATGAAAGGGTTCTATAAATCAAAAGACACCAACACGTGGAATCAGGGGGCAAGGAGCACGTGGGGTAAATCTGTCCAGAGCAGACGCGCCAGATAGAAGGAACGCTTTCAAGTCAGCAAACAAGTCATGAAAACCCAGTCAGAAAACAGGCAGAAGACAGGAGCGGTCGCTCTGCACACGGAGGAAGAAGTACCCGGGGTACCAAGCGTCAGAGGGAAGCCAACGACAGCAGCCAGGGCTTTGTGTTTTGCCTCTCAAGTCTCAGGGGGAGGGGGCACCCCGCTGTGATAAATCGATAAATCGGTGCATGTCTGGAGAGCAATCTGACCGTACGTGGCGGTAGGTGGTACCTTTGCCGTGGTGACCCTACCGAGGATCGGCTCTAAAGACATAACCACGGGGGCAGACACAGAACCCTAAGGGAGAGAGGGGCCACAAGGCTAACCTAACAGAAAAACACACAAAAATGGGAAAATGTAGAATGAACTAGATATGTCCTTGTGTCCTAAGGATACAGTAGAATTCAATGGAAATAGTGTTTTTCAAGCGCTTTACAGAGAAATGATCATAATATGTAGTGAAAAAAATAAAACTGCTCATAGGATTCTGGGTGATTTTTATTTCCTTCTGTTGTTCTTCTTACGTTTTCAAAGTTTCTACGATGAACGGGGACCACGTTTATAGTAAGAAAAAAGAGAGCCCACGGTATTTTTCAAAGAAGGCAGCAGGATGGAAACACTCTAGTCAAATGTCCGTGGAAAGGACAAAAAGATGCGAGGCAGGCCGAGCCTCCACGCTGTAGACAAGTGGCTTATTCGGGCTTCAAGAGCATGGAAGTTTCTGGAACAGTGAGGTAAGTCTGGATAGGGAACGACAAGCTTTAAAAAAAAAATGCTAACTTTCCCTTTAAAAAGATCCTAACTTTTCCTGAAAAGGCAGGAGAGAAGCCAGTAAAAAAAGCCGAAGGACGCATGGTTCTAGAACATTCTTTCCAGGACTCTTCAGGGGGCCATGTCTCAGCACCCTGGCAACAGCACTGATGGAATTGGCCTGTGGTGCAGCGGGTTGAATGTAGGGCCTGGGGGAATGCCCCAGAGGGCGCTTCTCCGGCCCAGACCCTCCAGCCAGCCTGGCAGAGAGCCCAGTGCCCGGTCCTTCCACCTGGCTTCTGCTTGACCAGGAAGATTCACTCCCTGTGTCCTCGGGACAAGCAGACCCTCTGTCACAGCTCCGTGCACTTCCTGCCTGGGCCAGCTCTGTGTGGCTCGCAGAGGTGTGAGGCTGTGCCCGAGTGACCTCCTCGAGGGACCACGGGACCGAGAGCTCACGAGCACAGCTCCACGCCCGCTGCTCACTCCTCCCGCCACCGCCGGTCCCCGGGGCTGCAGAGGCACCTACGGGAGGTGGACAGGAGGCTGCAGGCCAGCCACCTCTCCGGGCGGTCTGAGCCGAGGCAGATACCAGCCTCCCCATCTGCAGGCTGCCCCTGCACTCGAGCCCCACGGTCTCCATCGTGAAGCCTCGAGACATCATGAGGACAGCAACACCCGACTTTCAGGAATCTCCCTGCTGGAATCTGGGTAAACTTTCCGCCTGTGTGAGGTTGGTCTTTTGTGTCTGTCCATGTTAACGGTACCACTGCTCTGTCACCTCCGCATTACTATTAGATCACGCTCCGTGAGGTCAGCTTGTGACGTGAGAGAACGGTGCTCCTGTCATATTTGCGGCTGGTGGACCACGGGCCCCATCTGCTGACACCTGGCTGACCTGATTCCGGCTGCCCCTGGTGCCGGGGGGAGGGGGGGCACCGCTGTCCAAGGCCCTGGCCCAGACGCATGACTGTCCTGATCACCAGCCACCTGCCACATTCTTCCCTCCTCAGGCCCTCTGTACCGTCTGGATAAAGCTTCCCAGGAAGATGGAACTGTCTCAAGGCCACGGTGGGGCTTCTCTTTCCTCTGCTCAGCTCAGCCTCAGCATTTGAGCGAAGCTGGATGGGGCCCGGGAAGCCGTCTTCATGAGGCAAACGAGCGGTGTCCACCATGGAAAATGTCAGGAAAGCAGGAGACAGAGTAGGTGTCCACCGGCTGGACCAGAAAAGGGGGGGGGGCACGTCAAAAACTGAAAAATCCACATACCCTGTGGAAGAATTTCTGATGATTTCCTATCATCCTTGCAGAAAGATGATTCACTTACCAATAATCAACCCTGTGCGGCGGGCCCTGAGGAAGAAAGCCGTCCAGCACGTTGTGACGATAATTCATTCCTCCGGACGCGACTGAGCTTGCATCTCAAAAACAGCTTTATCGGAAAGAGGAGAAGACGTTTGCACCGTCTGTAACAGTCGAGTCCGGCACAACCCCGAGGCCAGCAGCAAGACCTGCCTGAGGGTGCGCTGGCTCAGCCACATGTGGCTGGATGGGAAGGTAAGCACACCTCTAGAAGCCATGATGGCCAGGCCTCCAAGCTAGAAGGCCAGGAGAGCAGGGCGGACGAGAGTGTTTGCAGGGTGAGGCCTTGGGGGTGGGGGAGAGAATGCATGTGTGTACATCTTTGCTTTTATTTTTAAAATTGAAAGGCAAACTGTAAAAACTTAAAAACTGTTACCTTTAGGAAGAGCAAGGTGAAGAGATAAACTTCTCTGGATACACTGTAGTTTATAGATTTGATGGGAACCAAGCAAATATTTGAGAATTATACAATTAAATGTCAATGACCATCTCTACACATCTCGTGCTAAATGGGGTAAAATGACCTACTGTAACACCGGGGGCTTAGTCGCGTACTCAAAGGACAAAGGAGCCAGTTAACCAACTCTGGGGCTGCAATGAGCGCTGGCAAGGATGTAGAGAACGCGGGGCCCGGCGCATGATCGGCGGGAGCGTGTACCGTGAAGGCTCCGGGAAACAGCTGACAGCCCCTCAAAAAGCTGCAGAGTCAGCATATGATCCACCAAGTCTCCTCCTGCATCTACACCCAGAAGAAAGAAAACCTCTGACCACACAAGAGTGTGGACGCAATTCTGCAGAGCAGCGTCATTCATGACAGCCGACATACAAACGACACCCGCCCACCGGCGGATGAACGGATAGACAGACCGTGGCCCGTCTGTCCAGCGGAATATTATTCAGCCACGAAAAGGAAAGAAGCACCACCGATGTTTGCCCCAACACTGACGAGCCTTGGAGACATCACGCTCAGGGAACGGAGACAGGCATTAAAGCTCACATACCGTGTGATTCTGTGCATGGAACTTTCCAGAAGAGGCAAATCCACGGAGACGGACAGTAAGTCAGTGGTCGTCTGGGGCTCAGGGAGGGGTGGGGAGTGACTGCAGGCCCCACGCGGAGCTGCCTGGGGGACGTGGAATGGTGGCCCTGACACCCGTGAGGTCCTGGCCAGCCCCTGTCACACTCTGCTGGAGGACTGTGGCCACGGGGGCTGTGTCCGGCTTCCAGCCTGAACTCCCGCCCAACCCCCGTCCTCCCACTTCCTGCCAGCAGACCCAGCAGGCAGGGCCCCAGTGAGAAGACCAGGGGTTGTGACAATACAACAGTCGCATGTGAGCCCAGCACCCCCTTCCCAATGCTGAGGACATAGCAGGCACATGGCGGGCGTGGGGGCAATGCTCACTGAATGTGCTTCATCAGGATATGTCCAAGGTGTGGGGAGCAAGGGAAGGGAGAGTGGCCTTGAGTCAAAAAAGGTTTGCAGATGCCAGGGCCCTGCAGACCCACGCCCCCCCCCCTCAGCCCACCCTTCCTGGTCCCTTGCCTCTGGAGGAGAGCATAGGAGACCCCCTGGAGAGGGCGGGGCGGGGAGAGAACAGAGTCCTGGGGGCACTGCCTGAGAACATAGCCCGGGCGGCCCCAGGGTGGTCCCAGGATCCCAGCACGGCCCCCAGGGGCGCCATGCCCACTGCTGAGCATCCACATAACTAACTGCAACCCCACGGGAGCTAAGCAGCCGTGAGGGTCAGGTGGGCGCTGGGCCAAGGCCACCACAGTGATCAAAGTGGAAAGCATGCTCAGGGGTGGCCGCGGCCCAGTCCCTGCCCCCACCCCGCCCCCGGACAGACATGGATCACCCGGGGCCAGGATGGGCCACGGTGGTGAAAGGCGGTGGGCAGAGGGCTTGGCACTGTGCCCACATCACCTGAGAGGTGCCTGTAACATCAGAAGGAGGGTGGGGTCAGGGACTCACTGGGGAACATTTCTCCGCTGGACTGGGCGACCAGGCTGATATACGCTGCTTAACTCCCTGCAGTGTAGGTGTCCCACACCGGCCACCTCCCCCCACCCCCACACCTGAGAGCCCTGTGGGAACGAGCCCTGAGTGCAAAGAGAGGAATCCAGGCGCGGGCAGAGATAGCTCTTACCTGGAGCCCGACAGGCACTGAGGCTCCTCCTCGGCCGCCTCTCCCTGCTGACTTTCCACCCTGGCCTTCGAAGGCTGCCCCTTGTCCTGCAGTCCAGCCTGAGGCTCCCTTGTGGGACCCGTGCCATTGCCTGCTCCAGGTGACCCGTCTGCTGTGTCCAGCTGGGGCCCCGAGGTGTGTGTCAGGCACTTGGAAATGGGGGCGTCCTCTGAGGGCAGTGCCTCCAGCACAGGCTGGGCCTCCTCCAGTCTCTGGGCTGGGCCCTTGGCGCTGGCCTTGGCAGAGCCGAGGTCAGAGGTGCTGATGACGCTTCCCGGGCCACACTTGTCCCGCAGACTCTGGGCGGCAGGGTCCTCCCTGCCGCCCCCACAGCCCCCGCAGCACACACAGGAGTTAAGGAGGCAGCTGGTGGCCGCGGTGCTGAGTTTGTGGGAGCCACCGTCCGTCCCCTCGGCCACAGGATCTGACAGGGAGACACCGTCCCTGGAGGCTTCTGTGGCGGTGACGGCAGAGCCCACGGTGGGCGTCGACTTGGGGTTGAAGATGACGGTGGCTGAGAGCTTCATGCCCCCGGTCCGGTGGGCGATCATCTCGGCCGTCTCCGCGGCGTCCACGCCCCCCTCCCAGCCATCCAGGTGCGGCTGCCCGTCCAGGCAGCTGCAGGAGTTGGGGCCCAGCGCCCACATCTTGTCGTGAGGGACGTCGTTGTTATTGCTCAGGTCCCCCTGCTCCACCTCTCTGCGCCCCCCGCCCTGCCCTCTCTCCTGGGGGTCAGCACTGGCGCTGCCCGCCCACCCGGACAGGCCGCTCGGGGCCTCTGCGGCCCCCTCCACGTCATCCATGAAGAACACCCTTCCTTCCTCCTCGTCACTGCCCGGCCGCAGCCGTGCACTGCCTGGGGACGCCTCCCCACGGGGGCTGCCCTCCACCCCTGGCCGGCGTGCGGGGGACTGGCAGGCACTGGGCGGGGAGAGGAGGGATGACATCTCGTCCCCCGCCCTGTGGACCATGCGGTTGAGCTGCTCCAGCTCCTGGTCGTCGTACTGCATGGAGCAGGCCAGCTCCGCCTCCGGGTTCTTGGCCTTGGCCGAGAGCAGCTCCTCGGCGGGTAGGGGTGAGGGGAAGGCCGGTGCCAGGGCTGGGGGCACCTGAGTGTCTGCCCGGATCGGGAACTCCACGTCTTGGGAAATGCAGAGGTTCCTTTCCAGTGTGTGAAGCTCGTCCTCGGTCAGGGTCTGCAGCAAATCCCTACAGGGGTCAAGACAAAAACCATGGGTGAGGGTCCCAAAGGCCACACCAGCCCCCTGGCTGAGAGCAGACGGACACAGCGTGCTTGACGACTGCATCCACAGGGAAGCAACAAGGTGTCTGTGGGGATCCTCCCGAGCCACAGGTCAGACGGTGGCCATGGGGACGGATGACTGCCTTCCTGAGATGGTTTCTTTCTCAAAAGTGAGGCTCTAACAACTCTTGTGGAAAACAAGAAGGCCCTGGTTCTTAGGGATGCGATCATCGTGTTAAGAAAACAAGTTAGGAGTGAAAACAAAATGTTGGTTCACATATAGGCTCTCACTCCGCACATGTTCTCGAGCGCCCTTTCTGTGCCAGACGGGAAGACGTGCAGGCACAGCTCAGGCCCGTCGCACCCTTGGGGCTACGTTGGAAGACGCAGGTAATAAACACCGGTTTCTGTGAATGATGACTTCATCACAACAGCAGCTACAACAAAAGAAAATGCCTACCGGCAGGAGGGCACATCAACACATCTGACATAGTCTGGGGAGGCTTCCTGGAGGAAGGGGCACCGAGCCAGTGACCTGAAGGGAGTTAATGTGGCCTGGGATGCATCTAGAGCAGCTCTACGCGGATGCACCTTACTCTCTGCCAGTGTAGGTCTGAGTCCAGATTAAAGACTCCCGTGCAGTCTTGGAAATGCTCGGAAAAGTGTACTTCCCGGAAACACGCAGCCTGTGACTCTTCATAAACTGAGCACGCCCATGCGGACAGCACCCAGATCCAATGGCGGGCGGTGAACCAGGCTCACAGGCCCTCACGTGCCTCCCTGCTCACTCCCTGCCGTCCCCACCACTCTGACTTCCAAAGACTGAGGTGGTCTTGCCTCTTGTCACTCCCTGCATAAATGGGAATGTGCTGTCCACACTCTCTAGAGGCAGATTTTGTTTGGCAATATCATATTTGTATAGAGCCGCCAGGGGAAACGTGGGATGGCCAGTTAAATTTGAGTTTCAGATAAACAACAAATTCTTCTTAAGCGTATGAATATTTTTTAGAATAAGAATGTCCCAAATGGGGAGCATGTGGAACATTCTTGCACTAAGAAAGTGCTCACTGTTTATCTGAAATTCAAATTCAGAGGGTTCTGCTGGTTTTGTCTTGCTGGATCTGACAACCCTACTTGGTGATGGTTGTCGATGGTCCAGTCTCATGGGTAGGAATCTGCTCCACACTTGTTGGGCTCTGGCTGCCCACCCTCTCGGAGCGCCTCCCTGGGGGACATATCTGTGCCTTGCTGCGGGGCTCACGCTGTGCACCCGGGACATTCCCTTGCGGCTCTCAGGCCTGCTCACTGGCACCCCCAGGCACTCCTGCCGTTTTTCACTTTAAACTGCTCAGCCTGCTGAGTGATGAAGTGCGCACCGGCGTGCACGCGTGGCAGCCCTTCGATGTACCCTCTGTGAGGCCTTTTCAGGTCTTCTGCCCATTTTTAGTTGGGTTATCACTCTTGTTCTTACGAATTGACAGGAGTTCCTTATGTTTTGGATTAGAGTTCTTTGATGGATCTGTTCCCCAACTCTGGGGCTTTCCTTCTTTCTTTTTTAAAAAGATTTTATTTATTTACTTGACAGACGGAGACACAGCGAGAGAGGGAACACAAGCAGGGGGAGTGGGAGAGGGAGAAGCAGGCTCCCCACTGATCACGGAGCCCGACATGGGGCTCGACATGGGGCTCGACATGGGGCTCGTTCCCAGGACCCTGAGATCATGACCTGAGCCGAAGGCAGATGCTTAACAACTGAGCCATCCAGGTGCCCCCTTTTTTTTCTGTCCTATTTAAGCAATCTGCCTACTCCAAGGTTACAAAGATGTTCCTGCTGCTTTCCTCGGCAATCTTCATTGTTTTACTTTCCACGTGTGTATCTGTGATCTATCCGGAGTTGATTCTTGTGTATGATTATGGTAAAGATCCAGACCCGTTTTTCCTCACATGGATATTTGCTGACTCGGCCCGTTTATTGGAAAACAGCAACCATCCCCCACTGCTCTGCCGTGTCTCCTTTGTCATAAATCAGGGGGGCGTGGACGTGTTGGTCTGTTTCTAGGCTCTGTCCTGTTGACGGGGTTGGAAGCCGCTCCCGGCCCAGCACGGCTGTCGGCTTTGCTACAGCAGAAATGCACACATATTCATAAGCGTGGTCACACCAGCGTCATTTGGAAAGAATCAAAGCCCAGCATGGGTAGAGTGGGTAAATAATGTTCTTTTTCTCCAGCGATCTTCTTCTTTTTGGCTAGTTTAGGTCCCTTGCATTTCCACATGAATTTGAGAATTAGTTTGTCAATTTCTACCAAAAGAGACAAAAACCTCCTGAGATTCTGACTGAGACTGCACAGAATTCATAGATTGATTTGAGGATAACGGACATCTCTGCAATGTTAAGTTCTTCACTCCTTGAATATGGAATCACTCTCTCTCTACGTCTTTAACATTTCATGCCAGTAATGTTTCATAACTTTCAATGGAGGCCTTAGACAACTGCAGACTTATGCGTAAGCAGCTGATATTTACTGACATGATTGCAGATGATATTTAAATTTTTTATTATGATAAAACAACTATGACATGAAATTTACCATCTTAACCATTTTAAGTGACAATTCAGTGGCACCAAATACATTCACATCCTAGCGCCACCATCACCACCACCCGCTCCTAGAACACATTCATCTTGTAAACCTGAAACTCTGTCCCCATAAACACTACTGGCACACTTCACCCCCAACACCCCCCCCCCACCCGACACCCACACCCGCTCTCTGTCTCCACGATTCTGACTAGTCTAGGTCCCTCTTTAATTGGAATCACACATAATTTGTCTTTTCATGGCGGCTTAGTTCACCAAGCACGTCCTCCAGGTTCCTCCATGTGGTGGCAGGTGGCAGGAGTGCCTTCCTTTTTATGCCGGATAACATTCCATTGTGTGATGGACCACATTTTGCTTATCCACTCATCCATCAGTGGACACTCGGCTTGCTTCCACACCTTAGCTGTTGTGAATAATGCTTCTTGGAACACTGCTATCCACACATCTCTCTGAGACACTACTTTCAGCTCTTTTGGGAATATACCCAGATGTGGAATTGCTGGGTCATCTTACAGTTCTATTTTTCATTTTTTTAAAGATTTTATTTATTTATTTGACACACAGAGAGAGACAGCTAGAGGGAACACAAGCAGGGGGAGTGGGAGAGGGAGAAGCAGGCCTTCCGCCGAGCAGGAACCCGATGCGGGGCTCCATCCCAGGACCCCAAGATCATGACCTGAGCCGAAGGCAGACGCTTAACGACTGAGCCACCCAGGCGCCCCTCTATTTTTCATTTTTTGAGGAACCTCCACATGTTTTCCCACAGTGGCAGCGCCATTTTGCACTCGCACCAACGGGGCACAGGATTCTAATTTCTCCACATTCTTGCCAATACATAATATTTGTTGTTGTTATTCGTTTTGTTGTTCTTTTGTTATTTGTTGTTGTTATTTGTTGTTTGTCTTCCTCCCATCCTACCAGGTGGAAGGAAGAATTTCATTGTGCTTTTGATCTGCGTGTCTCTGACAGTTAATGATGCTGAGCATCTTTTAATGTGCTTGTTGGCCATTCATACATCTTCTTTGGAGAAATGTCTTTTCAAATCCTTTGCCCTTTGGAATCGGGTTGTTTGGTTGCTCTTGCTGAGTTTTAGGAGTTCTCTATAGATTCTGGGTATTGATCCCTTATCAGGTATAAGATGTGAGAATATTTTCTCCAACCTGTGGGCTGCCTCTTTACTCTGTTGAGAGTGTCTCGTGAGGCACAAAATTTTAAAACTTTCAAGTCCAGTTTGTCTATTTTTTCTTTCGTCGCCTGTGTCTTTGGTGTCCTGTCCAAGAAATCATTTCCAAAACACAGCGTGGTAGAGCACTTGTCCAATGTGGTCTTGTAAGAGTTTTATTGTCTCAGGTCTCATGTTTCTGTCCTGGGTCCACTTTGAGTTAATTTTGTGTACGGTGTGACAGAAGGATTCAACTTCATGTGTGTGTGTATGCATCTCTCTCTCCTATCAGATTAAGGAATCCCCATTGATATTTTCATCATAAAATAGGTATTGAATTTTTCAAATTCTCACACTGTAATTTCAAAGTGATTTGGTTTTTCTTCCTCTTTTAAAAAATTTTTGTAGCAAAACGTTGATTTTATTTTCAAACGTTAACGATGCCATGTGTAATCTGAACTCCACAAGACATGGCAATGATCGTGCTGCACAACACACGCTTATCCACCCACACAGACTCCTGCAGTCTCTCCTGCATTTCCACATTTGTATCTGGGCGTTTGCCTTTGCCTGAAGAACTCCAATTAGCTCTTCTCTGTGGGCAGGCCGCTGCTTTATCCCTTCAGCCTCTGCTTTTCAGTAACTCACCATTTCGCCTTCATGGTGGACAGATGTTTTCTTCCAGCACTTGAAATAACATCATTCCATTGCCTTCGGGCTCCCATTGTTTGTTTGTTTCTCAGGAGACAGCTGTCAGTTTTACGTTCTTTTCCCAGAAATATGTCCTTTTTCTCTGGCTGCATTTAAGATTTTTTTCCTTTGTTTTCAACAATTTTACTACAATATACCCAAGTGTGCTTGTATTCATCTTCCTTGTAGTTCTTGAGCCTCCTGGGTCTGCGGGCAGAGATTTCTCTTCAGTTTTGAAAAATTCCTTCCTTCCTTCCTTCCTTTTTTTTTTTTAAGATTTTATTTTTTTTAAGTGATCTCTACACCCAGCGTGAGGCTCAGACTCACAGCCCTGAGATCAAGAGTCGCAAGAGTGCCCCCTGCCCCGACTGAGCCAGCAGGTGCCCCGCTTCCTTCCTCTGATTCCGATCACGTACGTCAGACCTCAGAGCATGTCGCACCTGTCTCTGATGCTCTGGACCGCTCCCCTGCCCACGTCCCAGCGCCCGGTGCCCCCCCATCCCCACGCACTGGCTCTTCCCCACAAGGCACCCCGTCTGCGCCCACCCCCTGCTCTTCCGTCCACCATCTCTCCTCATTCATCATCAGACGACCAGGGAGGACAGCAGTGACGGCCTCTAGGCCCAGGGTCACAGTTTGACTGGAATGCCCACAGATGGGCCCGGGTGCGAGGCAAGCAGCCTCAGCTATCTCTTGGATGAGCCATGGTCTAGACCAACCACCCGTCACAGGACCCAGGCTGTGCCTTGCCCGCCCCCAGGGCCAGTGACTCTCCGAGGACCACCCTGCTGGGCACTGTCTGCTGTCTGGATTCACAGTACTTGGGCTCCTCATGGGGCCAAGGGCAGCTTGGAGCAGGGGACTCTCCAGCTCTCTACAACAACTGGCACCAGGAAAGGAAAGCCGGCCTTGGGCTGCCCTGGGCTGGGCAGTCCTGCTAGACCCAGGAAGTCCATGCACGAGTCCACGGGGTCGGCAGCTCCACCAAAGGCACAGAAGGGAGCTTCCAGAGACCAGAGCCACGGTAAGAAAGACCTCCAAGTCCGAGGCCACGGGGCCAGGGAGGAGCTTGGAGGACCAGGGCCCACAGCCTCCTGCTGTGCCATCCATCCAGGAGGCCACAGCTGGGCGCTTTCAGCTCTGAGGGGTCACCCCCGGAAGGGCTCCAGGCCACTGGGAAGTGAGGGTTTGTGGGGAGGCACAAAATGGAGGGGGCTGGCTTGAGGCCTGTTGCTGCGAAAGGCTGAGGGGATCCCCTTAGAGCAGAGGACAGGTACCCACACCAGGCACCACCAAGCCCACAGGGCAGCACACAGGGGGCCGAGGACACCACTGCCACATGGACCCCCAGGGAGCCAGGACAAGCCACAGCATGGGAGGTGCACTGGCGCTCAAGAGAGCTGGGCACTTCACCCCTACGCTGGTGGGAGCACCCACGAAAGCCCCTGAGCAAGCACCCATCCCCGCCTGGGCCCCAACCACAGCCCTGCGGCTGCCCTCCGGGCCGACAGCCCTCCCCTGCAGGCTGTGTGGCCCTGGGGGCACCCGCATCACCCCGTTTCCCAACCTCTCCCTCTCACGCAGAGGGCCCTCGGCCATAGCGGCTGCGGTCATGTGACCAACAGTTTAAACCCATGGTCACAGGGTCACGGGCCAAGAACAAAGAGCTTGGTTCTGTGGGGAGACAAGGGTGTGGGGCTTACATGGGGGCTCTAAACATTATAAACCAGTAACTAAAGACAAAGACCAAGGTTGCAGCGCCTCTGACGTGAGCAGAGAGGACTGGGAAGAGCCCCACCCATCCTCACAGAAAGGAGGGCTGGGGGCCAACAGGGACTGCAGCACCCCCTTCCCTCCCCTCCCCCACAGTCCCTCCCCCACCTTATTTTCCGCAGCAATGTGTGGAAGGGCCGGAATAGCTCGGACATGTCTTCTGCCTTGCGGTCCAAGTTCAGGGGTCCGTCTGCGTAAACCACGAGGCCACTGCATTCAAGACAAAAGCCAGGATGGCGTGAGGCCCTGCAGCCCCCTGGGGCGAGCCCAGACCACGGCCAGGGACTCAGACCACACACACTTCGCCTTTTGTGATTGAATCTTAAATATGTTTAGAAAAAAGCACTGAAAATTACTCAGACTTTATCATCTTCTGAAGCTGATTAGCTGTTGTTCATTTGAGGGATCATAAAATAATCATAAAAATATATCTGTTCGCATCACTGCTGCAATCAGATAAATCAGCATCAAGATTTGTTACTAAAACTACCTCCTTGAAAATGGGAACTTTGGATCTGTGTTTAAATTTAACACACATGCAGAAGCTTATGAGAATTAGAGGTGCACCATGTACTGCAGACATGACGGAGAACTGGGAAGTGAGAGCCGGCAGCCCCTGCCACCCACCCACCCTTGGCCCTGTGCCAATGCATGCGGATGCTGAGCCTCCGGGGCTGAGCCCTGGCGGGGGTCCCAGGAGGGCCAGAGGAGCATCTCAGGGACCCTCGGCGCAAACAGGGGGGCACTTCTCATAAACCTGGCCTCCAGGCTGCCTTCCCAACCTCCCACGGGACTCCCAGGCTCAGACCTCCCTCACCCCCCTCCACACTCTGAAGCTCAGCAGCTGCCCTGAGTGAGTCCTTCCAGCTCACTGACCACAGCCTCTCCTCCCTCCCGGACCCACAGCACACTGCGACAATCCAGTGCTAGCCCCCCCCCCCGCCCATCCGGAACCCTGGGAGGTCCCCCACAGTGAGCTGTGTGCTTCATGGCTCCCCCACCCCCTGACCTTTGCCCAGACTGTCCCCAACCTCCTTTCCCTCCTGGAGGTCTGGCTCATGCTCCATCACCCATCAAGACTGGAGACAGACTCGTCACCCCCGGCAGGACGGACCCTCTCTCTCCTGACCCACGGCTGGCGCCCCATCTGGCTCTGCTCAGATGCCCCTCCACGGGCCCTGTTCCACCGGCAGCCCTCATTCATTCCCTGTGGCAATCTCGCCATGACCTGCAGAGTGCTGCCCACCTCCGAGCATGCCCCACCATCCTGGCCAGACCCGCTTCTCCAGGAGCAGGCCCATCTTTGGAGGGCCCTTCTGTGGGTGCCTCCTCCTGGGGCTCCCGGGACCAGATGGCTCATATAGAGGTACCCAGGGAATGAACCCCCCCCCCACACACACACAGCGCCTGCTCCTTGCTTCCTCGTCAGAGTATGGGGGAGGGACTTGTGGATTTGTCTGCATAAATGGGGAAGGGCCCCCATGTCGCTCTCTGCAAATGAACAGAATCTCATGTCTGCACTGGGATCGGGTCATCACTATCCAACATGGAGTCCTCATTAGCTCAGGAACGCGTCCAGGGCAGGGAGAAAAACTGGTAAAACTGAATGGACTGTTTTCCCTTAAAAAGGTTAGATTCCATGTGCACAAAGAAAGATTCAAAAGTCACAGGGAAAACATGGGCTGTCCTACCTCCCGGGGCAGAGGAGGGTCAGGGCTGCACGGGGACGGGACAGATGGCAGAGGATGCCCCAGCCAGCCTCCCATTCCTTCCAGTCTGTTTTATGGGTCTGACACGAGCTGACAGTTCTGGTTGAATTAACAGTGTTCGGGGGACAACTCCCAAAATAGAACCTTAACTTCATGGGTAGACCAGTGGTCTCATCCCAAAGGCCGTGAAAAGGGGCCCCGCCCAGGCTTCCTGGCAAAATCTTGTCCTTCAGAAAGCAGCAAAGTGGGCAGGGAGAGAGCCCAACTCCTCTCCTGGGTCCCAGGGAGGACACTGGCTACCCAATCAGTGCCATGAGAACCAAGCCCGGGGCTGACTGCGCCTGGTCTGGAGCCTCAGAAACAAACCCATTACTTAGGAGGGCTCCCAGCACGGCACCACACCAGGCCACGCTACTCCTGTCACTGCCAAGGAGGGGCAAGGCAGCCCCTGGGCTGAGCCTGGCAGAGGTGGAGGGAGAAGGGGCCCGCTGGGCTCACGCGGGGTTGGGGGTGGGGGCAGGCTCAGGTGGGCACGGGGCAGATGCCCAGCATGAGAGGAAAACTGAGCCCCCCCTCCCATTCTTCAAGTCACCTTTTCACTGTCTTCATAATGTCCTTTGATGCACAAACGTTTTTAATTTTGGTGAAGTTCAATTTACCTATTTTTTCATTTGTCACTCATCCTTTTTGTGTCAAATCTAAGAATCTACTGCCAAGCCAGGAAATGTGAAGATTTACCTCCTGTATTAGTCAGAGTTCTCCAGAGAAACAGAACCAATACGGTGTGTGTGTGTGTGTGTGTGTGTGTGTGTAGGTATGTAGGGAGGGGGGAGAGTTTGGTTGGTTGGTTGGGTTTTGTTGTTTTTTTTTTAGAGAGTTATTTTAAGGAACTGGTTCACACAACTGTGGATGGCGGCCACGTCCAAACTCTGCAGAATGGGAGGGCAGGCTAGAGGCCTAGAGACTCAGGGAAGAGTTGATGCTGCAGCTTAAGTCTGACAACAGTCTGGAAGTAGAACTCCCTCTTACTTGGGGAACTCTTGTCTGTTTTCTCTTAAGGCTTTCAACTGATTGGGTGAGGCCCACCCACATTATGAAGTGTAAGCTACATTACTCAAGATCAAGATTTAAATGTGAATCTCATTTTTAAAATAGCTTAGAGCAACATCCAAACTGGGCTTTGACCAAATATCCGGGTACTGTGCCCTAGGCTAGTGGACACTTCACAGGGCCCAACTCTGTTCTTCTGTGTATGGCTATCCAGTTGTCCCAGCATCATTTGTTGAAGAAACTAACCTCCCCATTGAATGGTCTTGGCCCCCTTGTCAAAAATCAGTTGGCTATAGATATTTGACTTATTTCTGTTGTCTTGATTTTTTCCTGTCAGTCTATCCTTATGACAGTACCACACTTTTATCATAACTTCGTATTAAGTTCAGAAATCGAGACATAAGAGTTCTCCAACTTTGTTTTTCTTTTTCAATATTGTTTGGGCTATTCAAGGCCCATTGTGGTTCCATATGAATTTGAGGATCTTTTCCATTTCTGCAAAAAAAGAAAAGGCCAAGGTAGTTTTTATAGGAGTGTATTGAATCTATATATAACTTCGGGGAGTAGCACCATCTTAACTATAGTAAGCCTTCCAATCCATGAACATGGGCTATCTTTTCATTTAATTGGGTCTTTAACTGTTTTCGGGAGTGTTTTATAGTTTTCAGTGTACATGTTTTCCACTTCCTTGGTTAAATTTACTCCTAGGTACTTTTTCTTTTGGATGTTATTGGAAATCTCTTCTTTAAAACAATATTTAATTACATACAATGGAATATTATTCAGTCTTAAAAAAAAAAAAAAGGGAATGAAGTTCCTACATGCCATGTGGATGAACCATGAAAACATGATGCTCAGTGAAATAACCCAGGCACAAAAGGACAAATATTGTATGATTCAATTTATATGAGGTCCCTAGAGGAGTCAAACTCATAGAGAAAAAGTAGACTAGAGGGTACCAGGGGTGGGGAGAGGGAGTGGGGAGTTGGTGCTGTGATGGGAAAATTCTGGAGATGGTGGTGGTGGTGGTGGTGAATGTGAATGTGTTTAACGCTACTGATGTACATTCAAAAAGGGTGAAAGGGGTCAATTTTGTGTTATGTCTATTTTACCACACTAAAAAAGTTAACATTTATTGCTTTGATTCTGTTTACAAAAGTTGTAGCTATCATGTTAAGAAGTCTTGTTAAGTAGAGACACAGTGTTTAGTACAATTTTTTGTAGTCAACACACTGGGAATGTTTTTCCATGGCTTTTGGGATTTTTCACCAACGTTACCTAAATGGCTGGAGTATTGTTTTTATTTTTATTTTTATTTTTTTTAAGATTTTATTTATTTTTTGACAGAGAGAGACACAGCGAGAGAGGGAACACGAGCAGGGGGAGTGGGAGAGGGAGAAGCAGGCTTCCCGCTGAGCAGGGAGCCCGATGCGGGGCTCCATCCCAGGACCCTGGGATCATGACCTGAGCCGAAGGCAGACGCTTAACGACTGAGCCACCCAGGCGCCCCTGGAGTACTGTTTTTAAATAATCCCTTAATTCTGGATATCCACACCCTCAGATTTTCATGATTAAAAATAAACTTCAGTAAAACTCTTTGTAAACACAGATTGTGCCCTGTCAGGTCAGTGCAACCAAATTCTGCAAAAGTTGTGCCACCAGCTGCCAAGCGCTAAGGACTCTGAGCAAAAACAGGCCGTGAACACTCCTCACGGTAGCGCTTCCAGGCTCGTGGGGAGACGTGAATATAACACAAATCCCATTTATACGAAATATCGCAAAGGCAAACCTAGACACAGGAAGAGATCTGTGGCTTCCTGGAGCTGGAGAGGTGGGAGTGTAGGGGGTGGGGGCGACAGCTAAGGGGGAGGGGTATCCCTTTGGGGGGATGAAAATGTTCTGAAATTAATGGTGATGGCTGAACAACTCTGTAGATTTACTGAAAACCACTGAATTGTACACTTTAAGTGGGTGAGTGGTGTGGTGTGCGCATTATATCTAAATAACGTATTTTAAAAAATAAGCAGTCTAGAGTACACCTGCGACCTTTGCTAGAGGTGAGCACCTGTAGGAGAAGGGCTGCAGGTGAGGCAGGTCGTGTGGAGACTGGGAAGGGGCTCGGCAGGGGGCTGTCTCTGGTGGGGAAGCAGGTGGGCAAGGAAACAAAGGGAGGCCAGAGACCCCCCCCCCAACAATGGGGCAGCAGCTTCTGGAAAATTCTGGTGGTAGGCCTGCAGGATGGATGTGGTGGGAGGGGGTGGGACGAAGATAGAGGGGAAGGGATGGGGCTGCTGGAGGAGAGAGGAGAGGGGAGGGGGTGGGAGGAGCGGAGCTGGCCCCGCTGGGGGAGGGGGAGAGTGGGGCGGGAGTGGGCTGCAGCTGGAGTGGGAGCAGGGCCTGGGGCCCCAGTGGCTCCGGGCAGGTAAGCCCGGTGTGCAGCTCCAGGAGGAGGGAGTCTCCTCACTGTGCGGGGGGGGCGGGGGGGCAGGTGTAGAGGTTGAAGCAGAGGCCAGGGCGGGACCAGCAGCAGAGAGGGGGTAGTGAAGGGAGACTTCCAGGCAGGCCCAAGTAACCAGGTCCGCCCCGACGGGGCCACTCACTGGGCGCTGCCTCTGGAGATTCTGTTAATGTCTTTATTCACTTACACCAACTGTCTTAAGATAAATCCTCAAAAGTAAACCAGTTTGTCACATGCGGAACCTTGTGGAGACTCAGTTTCCCCCAGGACATGTGTCCCCAGCGTCCCCACCCCCAGGGGGTCGTGATGCTAAGTCAGGGGGGCCAGGACCAGGGGCACAGGGGAAGTGTGGGTGGTGGGGCCCAGGGTCCAGGGCCGGCACCCGAGCTGGCTGGTACAGAGAAGACCAAACCCCTCTCCAGCCCCGTGGACACCCTGCACTGGTCCGACCGGCCTCCTAAACCTCCAGACCCCCGCACGGCCCTCCCCCCATCCCTGCCAATCTCTCAGGGCTCGGCTTACCACTTCTGCCTCAGGCAGGCCTCCCCAGGGCCACAGAACCCAGTGGTCATTAGGCAGGGGCAGGGCTGGGTCATGCCCCCTCCGGCTGCTCAGCACCTGTCTCCTCAGCTGTGAGGGGCCAGAGATGCCATGCCACCTCGGAGGGTATGTTGTTCCTGGGAGAGCTCAGAGCAGGGCGGGTGGGAAGGGGCTGGAGCTCCTGGAGGCAGGGGGAGGGGCTGGAGCAGTAGAGAGGCTTCACCCCCAGACCCCCTCTGTTCTCAGTGCTCCCTGAGTATCACCTGGAGTCCCAGGAACCCACATCACAGATGTGACCCAGGAAGCCTGCTGTTCTAAGAGTTGGCTTCAGTGCCACACACGTCCCATGGCCCACCCCTTCTCCCTCCAGCCAAAGGTGCTGCCTCAGCCCCTTGGCCCACACTGCCTGCCCAGCTCCCACCCCAGCTTCCAGAGTTCTGCTCCAGCCCCGGAGCTGCCCCTCATGCTCGCAGCTCTTGTCCTCTCCAGAGGGTTTCTGCTCCAAGGTCCTATCCTACCCCAGCATCCAGAACACTCCACGGCAACTGCTTGTCTCTCCTAACTGTGCACCCGCCCCGTGGGCGTCCCGGTACCCCTGGGGACAAGCACAGGGCCAGGTACACAGCAGGTGCTCAACACATGCTCGCTGGGCAGGTATAGGACCGAGCAAGTCCCGGCCCCACCTTGTGCAGCTGTGGCGCTGGCATGGACAATGAGGAAGGAGAGAGGGGGCTTCCGGCGCTGGGGGAGGTGACCCTGAAGGGGGCAGCTCTGGCAACAGCTGCTCACTGCTCTACTCCTCCTTCCGAAGGATGGAGAATTCCAGTTACAGCCTCATATGCCCTAGAGCCCCAGACGCACAGCCTGGCTCTGAGGGAGGGCTGCTGAGGGTCTGAGGTGGACCTGGGGTGGCCATCGTGCAGCCGCCCTCCTGGCCCAGCCAAGCCCAGCACCTCTGCTCCCTAAATCCTGGGCTTCGGGCCCCTGCATCAGCTCCTACTCCCTGGCGGGCCTCCCTGCACCTGCTCTCCCTTCACTCCAACTCCAAAACCTGCCTCACTTTGCTGTGACTCGGAGCCTTCCCTCCTGTCCTGGGGGATTCCAAGGGCACCCCACATGGTGCTGCCAGGAGGGGGGCACAGGGACAAAGGCCCAGCCCTTGGGGCCCTCACTCTCCCTCCCAGGACCAGGGGACAGAGAAGGAGCAGAAGTTCAGATGTCCACAGGGCAGCAGCAGTCTGCAAACAGGGCGCAGTGAATCAGGTCAGGGAGAAGTGGCCTCGGGGGGCTGCTCGGTGAGCATGGGAAGGCGTGAGAGCATGGTCCCATGACCACCGGGTCTGGGCCAGCGCCAGCGCCAGCAGCTAGGCTGGTAAAGGTTGAACGAACTCGCTCAGCAGGCTCGTGCGAGAACCTGGACACCACGCACTCAGGCTCTCTGATGCCTCGTCTTTATTCTAAATGGGTTTTATTTTAAACTGACTGAAAGAGTCTGAGCACTTCCATGAAGATTAGAATAGGTTCCGTCTAAGACAGTGCAAGTCCCTCGGGTCCCCGTGGTGCTAGACAAGCCTCCGAGGGGCCATGCGGCTCATCAGAGCACACCGGTCAGTGTGCACCCACACCAGCACCCGTGTGCACTGTAAGGCGGCTCCAAAGGAAAGCCAGCCTGGGAACCCCACCAGCGTGGTGGGAACCCCACCAGCGTGACGACATCCCTGCCGTGGGCTCAGTGGTGGGGGCCGTGGATCCTGAGCTTCAAGGCACTCGCCAAGGAGTTTTAGAAAAGAAACACAGCCAGGCCAGGGTCTCAGGGCTTCCAGAAAAGCAGCCTGGGAACCATGTGATGCAGAGGAAGGGGACAAAGCCCGCTCTGCTCACAAACCCACGGCCCAGGCCCGTAGAAGCAAGGCCCCGGCTCAAAGCAGCGCTGTCTTCAACATGAGTGTGGCCGCAGAGAGCCGCTGCCTAGAAAGCAAATGATGTGACAAAATTGCGCGGCCCACTGAGGGGCCACTTTGGGCCAGGCCACCAGGGCTGGCCCTAGGGGACATCTGTCCTCTGCCTCCCTCAGCTTCAGGTGAAGGCAGAGTCTCAGATTCTAGTGATTAAGGCAATTGTAAAGTGTGGGCGCTCTGGTGAGCTGGGACGCACTCCTGCTTTCCCTGACAGGTAGACCTGGGGAGGAGACAGTCTCGCAGAGAAAAGCATAATGGAAGGAAGGGCTGGAGGCGCCAGACCGGGGGTCCTGGCAGACAGACCACCGGGGAAGGTGGCTCTGAGGACACAACCAGGCCAAGGAGAGCGGGGCGCGGCCGCCCTCATGCCCAGCCCAGGGGAAGTGGGGTGTGGGCGGAGGGCCGGGCCCATACTCTAGAGCGGTGCTTGGGCTTCCCTGAGGTCCCGGGCCCTCTTCCCAGCTCTCCGTCCCCTGAGCCTCTCCACTTTGGGTCTCTTTGCCATTTGACCTCCAGGGTCCCAGGGCAGCAGAAGGTGCTTCTGGCCTGTCCAGGATGGGGTCTGCCCCACTGGCTCCCACATGCCTTCTGCATGCAGCCCGACCTGTCCGGCTCCCTGTGCTTGAGGGGAGCCCATCCGTCCCAGAAGCTGGCCCCATCCTGCTGCACCGCCACTGCCCCCCACCACTCCCACTACTGCACCCCCATTTCCCAAGGAGGGGGTCCTGTGCCTGGACCAGCCCTGGCTTCTATGTCCACCCCACACTCTCCCAGGCCACTCCACTGACAACGGCATCTACAATTAGCGTCTGCCCCGAGGACTCTGGTCGCCCTCTCTGCCCAGCTCCACACCTGCACACCAGCTGCCCACTGGGCCCCGCCCGAGGGGCCAGCCCTACAGGCCTCTCCATTGGGCTCCCCTGTAGCCCATTCACCCTCCTCCTCCCCCTGTGACCACCCGCCCCACGTCCCCTCACCTGGCAAGAGGCAAGGGCGGTCCCTGTCTGGGAGTCAGGGTGTGGCTGAGCAGCAGTGGACCGAGCCCAGAACACCCGGGCTCTGACCTTGGCTCCAAGAAGCTCTGAGCACTCAGCAAGTGACCGAGCACCTCCTGCCTTGGCGTCCATAAGGCCTAACCCCACGTGCTGGCCAACATCTCTGAGCCCACAAGACCCCAGAGGCCTGAGCCTGAGCTCCCCTGCTCTCTCAGCTCACACTCCGCACCCAGTAGGAGAGGCTCTGCCTGGGCGTGCCCCCACCGCCACAGCAGCTGTACCCCACCTGCTCTTCACCTGCTAGGTGTCATTTCACCCCCTGCCAGCCTGTGAATGATTCAGGTGAGCCCATCACATCCCCCCACGGGAGCCAGGGGCCTCCTCCCACAGCCCGCGCTGGGCACTCTGCTCCTCCGTGCGCCCCACGTGGTTCTACATGGTGCGTGGGGCGCTCCTTCCCTGGGCTGTGAGTATAGGTGACTGTCCATCTCACCTGTCCAGTTGGGTTGGGTGTCCAGCCATCTCATACTATTTAGGGTGGGGGATCCCTCCCTCACCCTCAGAACACCTGGTGAGGGCGACAGCAGGCCTGCTTGGTACTGCGTGGGTGGCTGAGCAGCCACCTGTTGGGGGTGTGAGTGCCAGCCATCAACACCCAGAAGGGGCCCAGCACTGTCTCACGCCACAATCCTGCTAGGCTTCTGCCCAATGGCTGTCCCGGGCGGGAGGAACACTCACCACACGATGGCCAACCTGGGGATGGTAAACATGAGGGCCGGTTCGTAGTCGTCAATCATGTCCTGGGTCAGGTACCCGAAGTCCAGGGCCCTGGCCGAGGGACAGAGACCAAGAGGGGTGAGGCCTGCCCACCTGCATCCACCGTGGCCCATTCCACCCTCACCTGCGTCTGTGCTCAGCAGAAGGCCAGGAAGGTGACAGGGGCCACACTCTGCTCCAGAAGGCCCGAGCAGAGGCGGCTGGTGCTTACCCTTCCCCATCTTCCCACCTCTGCCCGATCCCATCTCTGGGACAGAAGGTGCAGGGAGGAGGAAGGTGTGCTTGCTGAGGAGGGGCCCACGGGGCAGTGACGGTGTCCAGCAAACAAAACACAAAAGCTTGTCCCGCCATGGGCTTGCTTAGCCAGAAAATTGAAACAGCTCAAGTGGCAAAACAAACGTGGAACAAAAACACTGCCCTGCACAATTTAACACTCTCCTGAGGAACGAACGGCACTCTCCTGGATTTAGTCTCACACCCCAGGCAAACGCAAGCAGCTTTCTCTATACTCCGTGAGCTGGCGCTGCTCGAGTCACGTCACAATGGTTCCAAGTAAAAGGACGCCCACCATCTTATTTTTTAGCAAATTGAAATGTCTTTCAATACATAAAAAGTGAATAACCTGCCTTTAATTGTGAGGTGATATGAGGCAATTTCAAGACTTCCCTAATACCACAGCACTAGTCAAACAGAAGAAACATTCTAGGCTAAATCTTAGTCCCAAAATCCACTCAAAAATCTGACTTTAATTACTGTCCAAGGCATGGCAAGAATACTGATGATTCACTCCACAAAACCTTGTTCAGGAGACCTCCAACCCAGCAAGGGCTCCATCCTAGCCTGTGGAGGTGAGGAAATGAGGAGGTGGGGAGAGGAGGATGGGGGTGAGGGGGTGAGGAGGTGTGGAGGTGAGGAGGGTGAGGCGGTACAGACGTCAAGAAGGCATGGAGGTGAGGAAAGTGTGGACGTGAGGAGGTGTGGAGGTGAGAAGGTGAGGAAGGCATGGAGGTGTTGAGGTGAGGAGGTGTGGAAATGAGGTGAAGAAGGCATGGAGGTGAGGAAGGTGTGGAGGTGAGGAGCTTGGAGGTGAGGAGGTGTGGAGGTGAGGAAGGTGTGGGGGTGAGGAGGTCAGGAAGGTGTGGAGGTGAGGAGGGTGAGGAGGTACAGACGTCAGGAAGGCATGGAGGTGAGGAAGGTGTGGACGTGAGGAGGGGTGAAGGTGAGGAAGGTGGAGGTGAGGAGGTTAGGAGGTGAGGAGGTAAGGAGGCATGGAGGTGAGAAGGTGAGGAAGATGTGGAGGTGAGGAGGTCAGGAAGGCACGGAGGTGAGGAGGCGTGGAGGTGAGGAGGTGAGGAAGGCATGGAGGTGAGGCGATGTGGAGGTGAGAAAAGTGTGGAGGTGAGGAGGTGTGGAAGTGAGGAGGTGAAGAAGGCATGGAGGTGAGGAAGGCCGCGTGATGTGGAGGTGAGGCGGTAAGGAGGTGTGGAGGTCAGGAGGTCAGGAAGGCGTGGAGGTGTGGAGGGTGAGGGCGTATAGAGGTGAGAAGGTGGGGAGGTGAGGCTTCCAGCTCTCCGTGCTCCCTGTGGCAGCTGCTCTGGCACTCCAGGGGTGGGCCCAGGGGAAGGGGATGGTGGGGCTGGGGAAGGAGGGCTGTAGGTGTGCCCACTAGGGGAAGGTGGACTTGGAAGGGGAAGGGGGCTGGAGGCGTCTCTGACCCTGCGCTGCCTCAGGGAGGAGCAAGGTCCTGTGGTGGTCAGGGGTGGCCTCACCTCTCCACAGTCTCGCAGAACAGCACGATGACCTCCTGCTGCACGTAGTACTCCCTGGGGGACTTCACGGGCACCATGGCAGAGACGTAGCTGCAGACACAGCCAGGGAGGTGAGTGCTGCCCCCACCACCCACGCATCCCCCCCAAAAAGAGCTGCATCTCAGATGAAAGCCAAATGTGCTTCAGACGTACACAGCTTCTGGCAAGAGGCATGGCCATTTGTGTCTGAAATCAAGGCTCTTCCCAAGGTGGGGCCTAGTCCAGCGCCTCCGGGGCCCACAGCCCTGCCCCGCCTGGGCCCTGCGCGCCCTGGACCTGGCACTGCCGGCTTTGTGACATCCCTGCCTGGGTGCCGGCCTTCGCGGGCACGTGAGTGGATGGTTGCGCGTGCAAGTGGGTGAAGACCGCAGGGTGGGGGTGGCCAGCACAGGGGCCTCCTGGGCAAGCGACACGTTGTCCCACCCTTCCCCAGGTGAGAACACGTCTCTTTGCTTCTAACTCCCCAGCCCTGATTTTCTTCTTGTTAAAAAAGCTTCTTTGGGACCTGGACAAGCCAGAAAAGGATACAGAAGGAGAAACATCGTCTGTGCTCCCGCCTCCCGGAGGGCACTGCCTTCATATCTAGGTTGCTTTCGTCGGCTTACACGATGGACAATTTATACTAACTGCAACCACCATGGACGTGGGTTTTGGTCCCACTTTTTCTCGCCTAACCGCGAGCGTCTCCGTGTCTGTGGGAGCTGGTGGCGTGCCTGCCCCCCAGTCCTGGGCTCTTCAAAGCCCTGCGAGGTGGCCCCCAGGCCCTGCCTGTGTCCTCTAAGGAAGGAGCAGGTGAGTGCAGCCTTGGGGGCGGGAGGCACTGGCTGGAGAAGGGGGTGGGCACTGGCTGGAGAGGGGGTGGGCTCCGCCTTGGCTCCCCAGGCTGGGGCACATGGCGGGTGCGGGTGGAGGGCACTGTGTGATCCTAACCTGGGGAGGTGCCCTCGACTTCATCCCAGGGAGCTGGAGCGTCCCCGTGTCCAAGAGCCACAGCCACCCCGCCCTTGCTCCGTGTCCCAGATCTGAGCACATGAAGGTGGGGGAGGTGATGCTCGGGGTGTTTGTGCAGGGAGTGGATGAACAGATGGGGTGAATGGGGCAGCTGGTGGCCAACAAGCCCCGTTCGGTGAGCCCAGGCACTGGCGGGAGGCGAGGCAGGAAGCGAGGTGGGAAGCGAAGCGGGAGGTGAGGCAGGCGGTCAGAGGCAGGAGGCGAGGCAGAAGGGGAGCAGCAGAGCCTCGGGCAGGCGGCACGGGTGGAGGCTGGCAGTGGCACGTCCACTCCGGGTGACTGCTACTTGCAGGAACGTCCCGGGTCTTTCACGCTGGGGTGCATCAGGGAGAGGCAGAGGGGGTGGGCTGGACCCCTGGAAAGGTCACCCAGCCTGACCCCCACACCCCCCACCTCATGTGTCCAGGGTTAACTACACGGACGGACGGCCCTGAACCAGCCCCGGCTCCTCCCTCCGCGCGTCCGTCCAGCTTGAAACACCACGATGCAGGGGGCTGGCGCCTCCCCAGACTCATAAAGCAAAGGCCTCAGGGTCACCTCAGCTCGAACTCGGCAAACAGGACGTCGAAGTGCCTCAGCGCCTCCCTCATCTTCTCCGTGTAGGTGTTGAGGTCCCGCAGCGCCTGGTCGCGGAGAGCGCCCCGCACATCCTCCAGGCTGCGGGTCAGCTCCTTGGCCAGGGGGCGCATGGCCATGCTCTCCAGCTCGCGGTTCATGATGATGGAGCCGGCAGCCAGGCACTGCAGGCAGAGAACACGGGTCAGGAGAGGCCTGGGAGCGACCGGCATCGGAGCTGGTTCCAGGGGGGCCCCTGAAGCTTGACCAGCTGGGGTCTTCCCCTCCACTCTGCAGAGAGCGGGTGCTCTAAGGGCCAGCCCTGAGGACGGTGGGACAGGAAGGCAGGGGAGCGGTGGCCAGGCCAAGGTGTGCCCATCATCCCCAAGACCCCTCCCCGAGGCTCCTCTCCTGGGAACAGCCCCACTTCATACCGTGGGCCAAGTGTCTCGGGACGTGCCACCTGCTCGCTCCTGGTCTCTACTTAACCCAGAGCAGCCATGGCTGTGACGGCAAATGTTCTCCCTGAGACGGTCCGCACACGGATCCAGAGGCAGGCAGGGAGGGGAAGGCCAACTGGGACTCTTGGGTCTGGGGGCTCCGTGCTGGGGGCCCTGGTCCTGACTCCTGCCCCCTCCCGCCCAGCCCACAGCTGGGTGCTGGATGCCCAGGAGCGCCTCAACACCACATTCACGGCCACACTTCCAGCATGAGGCACTGGGAGCTGACCACGCTCCCCAAGACCGCTGACCTTTCTAGGAAGTAAAGACACCTGGCTTCCACAAACGCTCATTGACCTTGTGCCGAGCCGAGACTCATCAGTGCGGGACTCCCAGCTCCTGGGCGGTAGGAGGGTCCCTCTGTGCCCACAAATCCACCCCCACCTGTCCCGGGCAGTGGGGGGCAGATCGCAGGCCTGTGCAGGCTGCATGCATCACCCCAGCATGTTCCACATGTCCAGAGACATGGGGTGCTCGTCAGACCCGGGTCCTGGCTGAGGGGTGGCCGTGCAATCCCCACTTGGGGCGGTGGTGATGTGGGGCCCCCTGCCCACCTCAGGCCTGCACTCGTCAACCGCTAACCCAGTCACCGGTGACCCAGAGGTGAGCTGGGGCGAGAAGCACTTTCCTGGGGGGCAGAGCACAGCGTTGCTGATTTCCCCACCCCCCTGGAGGGGAGCCCCAGGGCCGGCCCGCACAGGGGAGACGGCCCCCTGAGTGCCACCAGGCATGGAACCTGTATCATGTCACAGCCCCACAGCTGTCCCTGTCCCTGGAACTCACTCTATGGCAGGGAAAACCAAGATGGGGCAGGGACAGCCTGCCTGGGGCCCCCCCGCACCACAGTGTGGGCAAGGATGCCCTCCTACGAGGCGGTCAGAGGGGTGGGGCAGAGGAAGACGCGGCATCCCAGGGACTCATCGGGAGTGAGGCCAAGGGGGCACAGGCATCAGGCCGCGAACCTCGGTAGGGCCAAGGGAGGGGTTGCAAGGTGGGGCAACAGACAACAGCTGGCTGGGGCGAAGCAGGTCCTGCCGCCGCGGGGCCAGCACCTTCCTCTCAGGCTGCAGTCCCCCCAGTGGGAGAGGAGGAGGGAGGTCTGACAGGCAGATGAGGGGTGCTCCAGTAAGGCCTCGAATGCAGCCCCCAGCCCCGTGGGCAAGGATGCCCCCCGTTAGTGGGGGAGGGGAGTGCTGCTCCCAAAGCTGGTAAGAACCCCCTGTGGGCCCTTCACATCTGGGGGCCTGAGAACCTCCCAGAAATCGCTTGTGAAGCTTCGTGTCCATATTTGCATGTATAGATCTGGGGAGCAGGCTCATGGCTTTCCCAGACCCTCAAAGGGGCGAGTGGCCTCACAGGCTCAGAATGCACCATCCATAACCCCTGGCAGGTGGGTTATGACCCCGTGAAGGGGGAGACACCAGGTCCCTAACCCCCGCAGGTGCACACAGGGGAGAGGCACAGTGCCCCACACTGTGATCCCGGACCCAGGCGGCTGCCCGCTACCTCAGCACCGAACCACAGCTGGCCTGCCAGGTTGTCGTGCCGGATTTCCTCAGGGAACTTGACGCAGAAATCCCGCGGGGCTCGGTCCTGGGGGATGCACACATCCATGATCTGATTAATGATGTTTAACACATTGTCCTGAAACAGAAACAAGAAAGTGTGCTACGACGGGGATGATACGGTAACACCCCCCTGCTTGCTCTGCAATGGCTACGAAAAGTTCAAATGCTCCAGAAGCATCTAGAGAGAACGTCCTGCCTCCCCCTGCCTCCCTGGTCCTGCTGCTCACGCTCACGGAGGCTAGGCACGCGTGGAGGCCTGGGGGAGCCTCCCTGTTACCATGAACCCACGAGCGGCTGCTGACCCACACCCAGGCTCCCTGCAGCTGAGGCCACAAAGACTGTCTCTGAACACCTGTACACGAGTCGCTTACAACAGAGCTCAAGAAATGGTGTGGCTATGCGGACAGACACACAAGAAGTTGATTTTACACAACTTGCTGTGCTGCTCCTATTAACATCACAAGCCCATGTCGTTGGGGGCGTGATCACAGCACAGACAAGATCAGCTGTCAGGGAAGGACACCACCGGGAGACTGTCTGCAAACCAGCCTTCTCAAGCCTGCCACACAGCGCTCCAAGGCCCGTCCGTGTGAGGAAAAGGGCCTCCTCACCCAGCACCAGCGACCACAGGAGCCTCCACAGTCGGGGCCGGGGCAAAGCCGCCACCCTCTCTGGACCTCCGTTTACTCCTGTGTAGATGGCAGAGCACAGCCGGCCCCTGCTCCTTCGCCCAGGCAGCATCCCCTCAGACTCCTCTGGAACCAGAGATCAATCAGCTGGCAAGGAAGAGGTGCTTCCTCCCTTCCAGGAGGTGGAGACCCTGACTCCACCCCTCCTGGCTGTGCACCTGGGACAGGCTGCTTAACTTCTCTGATCCTCCAGGCAGCCCCCAAAAGGAGCCCAGGATTCCCGGGCTGTCAGTCAGGCAGTGTGAGCTGGGTCTGTAGAACCCCGTAAACTCGCCGCTTCCTGGTCTGCCGGCCACTGATAGTGTCTCTAATTCTCCACCCCCAGGCACAATGCTGCCATCGGCTGTGGGGCGTGACACTCCGAGTGTTCAGTTATGTCCTTAGGATCCACTCGTTTCCAAAAGTGGAGCCACAAAGTCAAGAGCGCGCAGTGCATTTACGGGCTCTGGTTACAACCCAGCAAGCTGCTTTCCAGAAAGACGGCCCTAGCTGATGTTCTCACCCTTGGCAATTTCATATCTCAACACCGCTCCTTTCTGCCCTCTGAGGCTCGACTTCCGTTTTTATTAGGAAGCAGATATGAACAGTCACCACAAGTGGGAAGCATGACCTTTCTAATGTAAAACGTCAGCACACTGAGCTCTGACAATACAAAAAATAAAAATAAAATTCAACCAGCATCAAACGGTACTACCATGAGTTCTTTTTTTCTTATAAATGGGTTTTTAAAAAAGATTTTATTTATTTGAGAGAGAGAGCATGAGAGGGGGGAGGGTCAGAGGGAGAAGCAGACTCCCCACTGAGCAGGGCCTTATGCGGGACTCCATCCCGGGACTCCAGTTTAAAAGGCTTTCGGGGGCACCTGGGTGGCTCAGTCATTAAGTGTCTGCCTTCAGCTCAGGTCATGATCCCGGGGTCCTGGGATCGAGCCCCGCATTGGGCTCCCTGCTCAGCGGGGAGCCTGCTTCTCCCTCTCCCACTCCCCCTGCTTGTGTCCCCTCTCTCGCTGTGTCTCTTTCTGTCAAATAAATAAAAATCTTTTTAAAAAATAAAATAAAAGGCTTTCTGGGCAGGAAGGCCCCTTTCTCATGATTCAACAAACTAATGAACAATCAACTCCATCAAAACCGTTAGCGCCCAGTCAACATCCGCTCCCAGGAAGAGCCAGGGCTGGTGGGGGGCTTGCAGAACATCAGCACCCGAAGGCGAGGGCAGGTCTCCTTCTGTTCTCTGACGGGTCCCCTGTGCCCAGCAAACATCTGCAGGGACCTCTGATTCCAGCCAACGCAGAGGAATAGGAACAAAATCGACCTCCCTCGAATGATGACCACAGTAATGGGGAAAATAAGACAATGGTTCTCAAGACACTGGCCATCACAGCCAAGTGGCCCCAAGGGAAGAGAAACAGGTAAGGCAAGAGCTGTGACTGGCTGGCTCATAGCCTGGAGCAACCTTTTAGGTCCTGGCCCAAAGGGTGGGCACCCTGGTGGGACCCAGCAAATGCCCTCTCACTGAAGAGAAGAGCTGACGGTCCAAGGGACTGAGGAAGCTAGAATCAAGAGAAGGGAGAGCTGGCCAGAGAAAACCCTGCAGGCCTGGGAGCAGGGAACGGACACAGGCCAGCAAGACCAGGAAGGAGGTGAGGATACCATACAGGGAGCCGTTCGCAGAGCTCAGAGAGCTATTCACAGGGCGCTAGGCAGAGCACCCAAAATGTCTTGCCTCAGTGGGGAGAGTGATTAGCCCCAGACTGAACTCAGCTCTGACCCCCACCTAACATCTTAAAAAACAGGATCCAAGAGGATCAGACCATTTGTAAGTAACCAAACTACATTACAAAACTAAGGTCAGAGAGACTTACAGGAATACAAAAATAGTCAGCTCCCAGAAGGCCAGATTCACAACATCAGGCATTCAATAAAAAAAAAATCACCAGGCTTGCAAAGAATTAAGAAAATATGACACATGATAAAAAGAAAAACCAAGCCTAGCTGTGGCCAGTGGCACAGTGGCCATCAGGGGACATGGAGATGACCCTTACAAGTGATACCTGTATGTTCCAAAAGTTAGCTGAGACCATGAAGACATAAAAAGGACCCAGCTGATCTAAAAATGGAAATCACAATATCTGAGCTGAAAACAAACACACCGGATGAGATTCAGCCCAGATCAGACATTTTGGAAGAAAAGAACAATAAACCTGAAGACAAGCAACTGAAACTCTCCAATGAGCCCGAAAAAGAAATAATAAAACTTCAGGATGTCAGACCTATCATGCAAGACCCAAGAGAAGGAATGGGACAGAAAAAATATTTGAAAGAATTATGGCCAGTTTTTGTCCAATTTAATGACAACTATAAACACAAGTTCCAAGAAGTTCAAAGAACCCAAAGGCCAAGAAACACGAAGAAAATTACAGCAAATCACAGCATGATGAAATGGATGGAAACCAATAAAAAGAGGCCTTACAAGTAGTAAGAGAAAAAGATGCTACCACGCAGAGCAAAGAGAAGGGTTACCCTGGCTTTCTCAGGAAGAGTGTGCATGAGAAAGCAGTGGGGCTCCATCTTTCAAGCCCTGAGTAGCTACGAATCCAAGGATCCCTGCTTCGCTGGACAGCTAGTACCATGCTTAATGGGGAAAACCGCACGCTTTCCCCAGTATTGGCCTACAGATTCAGTGTGATCCCGCTCAGCGGGCTTCTTTATAGACCTCTACAAGCAGTTTCTAAATTCCATACAGAACTGCAAAGAACTTAGAACAGCCACAACTTTGAACAGAAGAACAATGTTGGAGATCTGACACTGCGGGATTCTAAGACGCAAGACAGAGTTGCTGTGATGGAGACAGCGTGGGACTGGCCTGAAGGCAGATCAAGGGGACAGAACAGAGAACCCAGAAATAGACCCCCACCTATTTGGAAAACTGATTTTCCCAAAGGTGCAATAACACTTTTCAGTGGAGAAAGGATAGCATCTTCTCAACACATGATGCTGGAACAACGGAAAATTGATTTGCACAAAAACGTGGGTCCAGTCCTCATGCTATATACTGACGTTAACTCACTATGGATCACATAAAGCCTGAAACTGTAGAACTTCTAAAGGAAAACATGGGAGACAATCTGATGACCCTGGGTTAGGCCGAGACTTCTTAGACCAAAAAAGCATGACCTACAAAGGGAAAAAAGGATAAGCTGGGCTTCATCAAAATCTAAAACTTATGTCCTTCAAAAAACTAGGCAGAAAATGAAAAGACAAGCCACAGACTGGGAGAAAATAATGTAAATCATAATTGGATGAAGCCTGGTGTCAGAATATATAAAGAACTCTCAAAAATCAATATGAAAACAAAGAATTCAGTTCAAAGAATTCAAGAGCTGTGAGGAGCTCTCCCTGCCTTGGCAAGGAGCGCCAGTCCTCCTGGGCTCCCCCGGCCTCAGTTCCTCCTAAGCACAGCTCTTGGGATGCCAAATGCAGACATGTAGTCACACCTGCCCCCAGGTGTAGCACACTGCAGACAGGAGTCTGGGCTGTGCAGTCAGGGCACACCAGGGACCCCTCTCTCCCCGAGAACCGACCTCTGCCACGGTGGACACCAGCCCCTTCCAGTGAGGGGAGGTTCGAGGGTGTCCCTTGCCAGGTGTGGCCCTGTTCACATCACAGATCTGCAGCAAGGCGCCTCCGTGCCCACCGTGACCCCGTTAACTAGCTACACTTGGGTACAAGGTTGGGGGGCACATTTTGCCGTTTAATATTCACTGAAGCATCCAAAATTATACTCCCTTGATGGCAAAAGTTACGGTGTGGCTTAAGAAAACAGGTCGATGATGATGCCAGAATCCAACCCAGAGCAAATTCAAGCCCATCTGCATCATGAAATCCAAATCCCACTGTATTAGTGCCTGGGGCCGCCATAACAACACCGCACCTGGCAGCTCCAAGTTTATTCCTCACAGGCCTGGAGGCTGGGAGTCCGAGACCCAGGTGCCGGAGGGCGGGTTCCCAGACCCAGGTGCGCGTGGGCCTGTTCCGAGAAGCAGGTGCGGGTGGGCGGGTTCCGAGACCCAGGTGCCGGAGGGCGGGTTCCAAGACCCAGGCGCGGGTGGGCGGGTTCCGAGACCCAGGTGCCGGAAGGCGGATTCCGAGACCCAGGCGCGGGTGGGCAGGTTCTGAGACCCAGGCGCCAGTGGACGGGTTCCGAGACCCAGGAGAGGGTGGGCGGGTTCCGAGACCCAGGTGCGCGTGGGCCTGTTCCGAGAAGCAGGTGCGGGTGTGCGGCTTCCGAGACCCAGGCGCCGGTGTGTGGGTTCCGAGAGGCAGGTGCAGGTGCCAGTGGCCGGGTTCCCACTGAGGCCTCCCTCTTGGGCTTGTAGAGGATCCTCTCGCGGTGTTCTCACCTGATTGTCCTGCATTCTGTGACCTAATCTCCTCTTCATACAAGGACACTGGTCAGACTGGATCAGGACCCACCCTAACGACCTCATTTTACCTTAATTATGTCTTTAAAGACTGGGGGTTAGGACTTGAATGTATGAATGTGGGGTGGGGGGAGTCACAATTCAGCCCCTCACAAGAATCCAGGATTCATTTCATCCTCCTAGGCTATGATTTCTAATCCTTTGTGGCTTCTGAAGCTAGAAAAAACACAAACACACAAATGTCCTCAGAAATCCACCTGCACACTCATGTATGCCCCAGTCCACAATTTTCACAAAGTAAAAGGTCATTTAGGTGAAAATGAAGGACTCTGACTCCTTCTAAGATTAGAGCCAGCGAGGTGGGACCACCGGGCAGGTCCCTGGCCTTCTCCACCTCACAGGCTCCCAGCCCCCCGCTGCCTGCCCCCCGCCCCCGACCCCGACCCCGCATGTCGGTGCCTGCTGCTCTTTACAAACCCAGCTCATGTGCTTCTCACAGCATCGCTCTTGTAAGAAGAGAAAAGAAGTCTCCTGTTCTTGGAGCATCTACTCTGTACCCGGCATTGGCCTAGAGACTTTACCTAACAGACCCCATTATGGGGCAGAAAGGTTTGAGATACTACACCCCAAGGGCAGGGCCTGTGACAGGCCTTCATTCAAGAGAAGTCAGCTGACAGGGGATGAATACTGATGGGACTTCCCCTGGCCTGGGGCCCAGCAAGCCCCCACCCCCACCTGGAGCTGGCTGAGTGGGGAGCCTGGGACAGAAGTGGTCTGCAGCCAAGTGCTGGCTACCCCTCACCTGCCCCCCACCTGCCCCTCACCTGCCCTTCTCCTCTCCAGTGAGCAGGCAGCTCATTCTGTGGGTCTCGGTGGCCACTGCAGCCTGCAGCTCCCACCTGCACTCATAAGGGCCAACCAGCTGGACACCAACCATCTGTCAACTGCTAGCTGAGCAAGCAGATGGTCACAGAGCACTGGCTCCCGTTCTGGCTGGACTTGGGGAGCATGAGGCCCCCAAGACTCGCTGGTGAGAGAAGTCAGACTTCCCAGCAGGAATTAAGTGGTGAGGCCATTACCCAGAGGACCGTTGTGGAGACCCGCCCATGCCCTAAGGGAGACAAAGCTCCCAGACCAGAAGGACGAGGCTCCCTGAATGTAGCCCTACACTCGAGCCGGAGTGCTGATTCAGACAGAACTGAATGGGACCCAGCCAGAGACCCACACGTGGATGCCTCCAGGGGCTCCTGGAGGGCTGAGCCAGGCCAGGCTGGTGCCACCAAGCATGTTCCACACAGATGCCCCAGGCTCAGCTGAGGGCTGTACTCGGGCTGATGGGGCCTCGAGATGCCCCAGACACCTAGACTAGACGACTCAGGGATATGTCACCGAGGCCAGGGTCAGAGACAATAGTGGGACAAGGACAGTCCCACTGGCAGTGCCAAGCCACCAGCCCCAAAGCCGAAAAAGTCTTGGTCTTGGCAGTGGTGGCCACATCCTGCCCGGGACAGACTCACAGGTCCCAAGAGCGTCAGGGGCCTGGGGCCCCTAAATCTGGCCTCCAGTGACCTGCCTAGGATGACAGTGTTCTAAAATCAAGGCCACCAAGTGGCCCTGCAGAGTGGGCTGCCATCAACCAACCTGTCAGAGCTCCACACCTTAACTGCAGGTCACCAGACTCTGCGTTGCAACAGCAAACCTGTCATCATGCACAAGCAGCCCCTCCCTGAATACAGTGACCCCAAATACCTGCCCCCTCCATACCCACCTCACTTCTGTGGCATTGCCCACCCTCCACACAGAGGAAGATCCTCTTCGAGGGACTGCTGTTGAATGAATGAATGAATGAATGAATGCACAATCAAATGAACAACCCAGCATTGTGACAGTCAAATAGAATGTGAAACAGCAGTCAAAAGCAGAAAAGACAAACTGCCCTGTTTCAAGACCAATGTTAGAAATGAAGACACTTTCCAACTTAAATGCCTGAGCTTTGTAGAAATTCACTAGGACAGGAGCCCTTACACAGCCCACGCCCGGTGAGTAGCCAGTTAAACAAATATGTTACTCTGATGAGTCTTTATAAAATTGTAGCGTGTACACAAAGGCATCCCTGCTAACTCTGCTTTCCTGGGTGGGCAGCAGAGCACACGGCCAGGATCCGTGACTCGGCAGCCAGGATTTCTAACTGTGCTGTTCTGTGTACAGGAGCCCCGCCGCAGGCCCACCCTGTGTGCTGAGAGGCCCGCGCAGCGCTGGCCCTGGGCAGGTGTCCGGTGCTGGCCATCAGGAGCGTTCCCGGCTCCTCAGCTGTGCCTCCCCCGTCCGGACCAACGCTGTGGTCGGTGACGACACCCCTTCCTCCCGGGGGTCTGTGGTTTGGGCCGAGCCAGGGAGAGGGGCCTGCGGGACCAGCCCCAGCGAGAGCCCTGCTCCGCGTCTCTAACGAGCTTCCCCAGCAGACAAGACCCCACATGTGTTGTCACGACGCGCTGCCGGGAACAGAGCGTGTCCCACCTGACTCCCCGGGAGAGGGTGCTGGAAGCTGGCACCTGCTTCCTCTGCACTTCGTCCCCCTCATCCCCCCCACCCCGTACCTTTTCCCTTCGCTGATTTTGCTTTGTATGGGTTCACTGGGATAAATCTCAGCCATGAGCATGACTATATGCTGTGTCCCGTGTGTCCTCCTGTGAGTCATCGACCCTGGGGTGGTCTTGGGACCCTGACACAGGAGTCTTAAGAGAGGAGTGAGAAATTAAAGATGCTTGTGCAAGATTCTTTTAGCTTTTTATGACTTGTTTCTTGATCCCCTTAAAGTACCGTGCCCACGCCTAATTCCAGAGCATTTTTCCTTTCTGGTTTTTACCCTGTTGAGGCTCTACGAAGCACCTAGTTTAGCTGCCATCCCATTTGGTCAGCTTGTGTAAACTGCAATTATATCCTGCAGTGAGCTGGCCAGTCCACTGCAGGGGGCACAGAGCTGCGGTGGGAGCAGGTGCAGGGGGGGGCGTAGGTGGGGGACGCAGGCAGGGGTGCAGGTGGGGATGATGGAGGGAGGCCTCTTAGCTGCAAGGTTGGTGTGCGGTGGCCACAAGGAAGGACATCTTCTGGTGGGAAAGGGAGAGCGCTGATGGCCTAGCAAGTCCGGAGACCCCTCTGGCCCCTCCAGTCCCCTAGGAGAGGGGAGGGCCTCCTGGTCACTCTAGGGCCAGCCAGGACCTGCTCCTCCCACCAAAATCCTTCTCTAACTCCCCTGATGCTTAAAACACACAGTGGGACGCTGGCTTCTGCGGCATCCTTCCACTGCGTCCTGCTCTCCCTGTGATCTGGGAAGCACGGCCCGGTTCCCCTCCCAGGGCAGAGAATCCAGCAAAACTTGCGGGCAGAATGCACCAAAATGTTCTGAAACTTTGTGAAAGACCTTGACTGTCCCTTGACAAAACTGCATCACACCTCAGGCTCTCACACGGGTCGTTGGCTAAAGTGGGAGGACATTCTAGCCTCGTTTCCGGAGCCCACTCTGAATCGTGCAATACCTAGTCTGAGCGGCTCCCACCCACCCCCCGCCGGGAGCTCTACGCAGGGCCCCTCCAGCAGGCCCCTTTCCTGTGCTAGCTGCTCCCTGGCGAAGACCCTGCTGGCTCCCAGTCATCCGGCCTCCCCCGACATCTGCTCTGTGAGAGTGCCCTGTGCAAGCTGCACTTGTCGCCTGGCTCTCCTCCCCACACCGGCCTGCTCCGGGTTGTGCCTCCTGCAGGCCCGGGGTGCAGCCGGACCAAGGGGCGCCCGGCACCTTGCCCAGGCCACAGTGAGATGTGCTCACAGCGTGTGAGCAGGTGACGAAGCCTCAGGTTCCCCCACGACAGGCCTCTTGGCCCCACTCCCACTCACCTGACAGGAGCGAAACTGGCTGACGAGCAGTGTGCACCGCTGTGGGTCCTTCCGCCCGTCCAGACTGTCCAGCTCAGCGGCCACCTGGTTCAGCTCCTCGTCCGCATAGTAGAACTGGGCAAGCAGCTGTGGGTCCGACCTCTGCAGGGGAGAGACGTCTGGGTGTGAGTGGGAGCATCACCCCTCACAGAAGCCCCGCACGGCTCCTAACTGGACACCCGGCCTGACCCCCCCCCAACCCCCATCTGCATTTCAGCCCATAGGGCTGTGCCCACTTCTCAGAAGGCCGCCCTGGCCTCCGGGGACAGCACCTCCGTGCGGAAGCCAGATGTCCAGGCCCAAAGCTGCCAGTGGTAGGAAGACTCACAGATGAGGGGCTCGTGGACAGCGGGTCGAGGCTGCAGTGGAGTTAATAGAATCGGCTCTGAATAATCGGTTTTTATTCATGAAACGAGACTACCATGACAGACAGCCTGTGAAGGAAGTGCACCGGGCTAACACAACACAATTTCCTCAAAAGAAGCCTCATTAATGGTTGCCAACTCCTGCTCTACTCTCTAGAATCTTCTCAGGTCCTCAGCCCGGTTTCTGTAACACCAGATAATGCCAGTGCTCTGTGGCAGGAAGCCCCTTCCGCAGGGGCTCACCAACCACCCTCCTCGGAGCAAAACCCCGGTGCCCTGCTCCCATGACGGGATGGCAGACTGTCCCGACCTCACTCCCCATTCAGCTCCATCCCCACCAGCCCCCTCCCTCACACGCCAGGCTCTCCCCTCACACGCCAGGCTCTCCCCTCACACGCCAGCCCTTTCCCCTCACGCACTAGCTCTCTCCCTCACACACCAGCCCTCTCCCTCACACACCAGCCCTCTCCCCTCACACACCAGCCCTCTCCCTCACACACCAGCCCTCTCCCCTCACACACCA